GTCTCGCTGCCCAGGCGGGTCTCGAACCTGCAGCCTCAGGCAATCCACTCACCTCAGCCTTCCAAAGGCGTGGGATTACAGGCTGAGCCACCGAGCCCGGCTAGCATTTTTAATATACTTGCAGGGATGACCAGCACTTTTATGGAATTTCTCTCCAACTAGCCTATGAGGTCACTACCATTAGCATCCCCATTTCACAGATGAAACTGGGCTTTGAGGTGCTCAATGACCTGCCCAAGGTCTTCCAGAGCAGCAGGTAACCAGAGCATGAAGACCCAGGAACTCTTAAGACTCTTCACGCTCTTAAGCATCGTGCTGCCAAGTCCTGCCAGCTAGAAAAACACAGAACCTGGAGTGTCAGCCTCGAAAGGGCCTTAGAAGTGACCAAACCCAGCCTGACCTTGTGGGCTGGAGCCACACCAGAGAAGAGCAGGAAAAGGTCTGACACGGAACTTGTGATTAATGCCCAGGACTAGAACCCGAGTCTCCTGCTCTGACACAGGACTCCTTCCTTCCTTCTACGCACCCCACAGACGGGAACTAGAGCCTCTAACTCAAACAGGCACGTGCCTCATTCCACAGGAGAATGAGCACATCGGGGCCCTGGCCAGGGTGAATGAACTCAGTGTGTGCAGCTAATGAACTAGGAAAATGCAGTCCTGGGTGTCTTATTTTGCCCCCAGAGCCTGCGGCAATCTCAGGAAACTGACACCCTGCAGTGGATTCTGGGTAGCTTTTGGGATTGGGTGTGTGTACTCAGTAGACTTCAAGAAGCCCATACTCCCTGCGTTGGGTCTCCCAAATTCATTGTGAGAATCACCTGCTCACATCCAGGCAGCCCAGGAGAGCACACTGTTGTGGGTTGTGGACCAGTGAGAGGTACTGAGGGTGCTTTTTCTTTTCTTTTCTTTTTTTGAGTAGGAGTCTTAAGCCTCGACCTACTGGGCAAGTGATCCTTCCGCTTCAGCCTTCCAAGTAGCTGAAACCACAGGTGTGCACCACGACACCCGGCTAATTTTTGACTTATTACAGAGACGAGGTCTTGCCAAGTTGCCCAGGCTAGTCTTGAACTCATGGGCTCAGGCAATCCTCTCGCCTCTGCTTCCCAAAGTGTTGGGATTACAGGTGTGAGCCATCCTGCCTGGCTAAGGGTACTTTTTGTTCTCCAAGTGACCTAAACATCAAGTCCACAACTCTTGAAAAGTCCCACTCAGGCCAGCAAAGTTACCTTCTTAGCTGAACTTTGAGGACAGGCAGCTAGGAGAGGTCACAGAGTCATAGATTTTCAGATGTTCGCTGGCTCAGCAGCTTGTGCAGAGCCAGCATGTCCTCTGATCGGCAAGTAGACGCCCAAGTTCTGCCACTATATTTCCAGGAATGGGGAGTTCACTACCTCACGGGCAGCCCGTTGCGTTGTTGGTTAGCTCTGATTTATATAAAGCCCAGATATGCCTCCTTTTGAGCTGTCCATCAATGGCTTGCAAATTCCTACAAGCCCTTTGTCGTCTGGCCTCCA